TAATCTCGTACAAATTAAAAACAGAACCACTTCGTTCAAAAATTAAGCACAAAACTATAAGTAATATTATTTGTGCCAGTTTAGGCGTTCTTATGTAACAGGTTAGGTTATACTTTAACTATTTAATTATCCATTGTTTAGGTCAATATGGAATTCGTCAAAGGCTATTAATTCATTAACTTATGTAGTAGTACAAAAAGAAATGTTTTGGGTTTCTCATTTGTACCATTTATATATTGTTCTGTATCATACTAAATACACTGAGAATAATAATAAAGTGTTATTTTTATATGGCTGTAGCTTGTGGTTTTAGTTGTCTATTTACCGATATTTGAGTGGACTATGCTCACGAAGTAAAATATTCCTGTGATTCTCGAGTAACATTTTAACTGCTTTACTTAGAAGCTGAGGGAGGACATGAAATGTTTTACCTTCGGGTCCTTAGGTTTTTTACAGTTATCTGATTATATTAATTCAGTTCAGAATAATTAGAACATTTTGACATTGCTAGTGCAATCACGATTTTCCTTGTATACCGTGATTGAACAGTAGCTCTGTTTTAATTTTAATTTTTTTAACTGATGTAACCCAAGACTAACTAGTTTAAGTATTTAATGCCTGAAAGCAAGTTATCAGGGGGGATTATTCAAACGTTATTTCTGGTTACTTTTAATAAGTAATTTTCTCTATTTAGGGTTCTACATTCGGGTAATGGGGGGTAATGCAAAATAATTTTCTTAGACCTCCAGGACTTCTCTTTAATTTTTTTTATTTTTGTTTTTTTGTTCAATAAATGTCCGAGTACCTTATGAATTTGTGTCTCTTTAGCTCCAGAAGCCCAACCTTGTTACTTCTTATTCCATTTCCTATTTTTTGAAACTAGGTGGCGTCCAAACCGCAACCGCTTTGCATCCAAAAACCAAGGTACAAAGAACCTCACCCTGAGGTCGCATTTCTACCGACTGACCTAGATGTAGAGTGATAACAAGGAGTCAAGTCTATATATTTACATTGCATTGTTTGTTGCCAAAATTTCGTGGTTTTAGTTCATGCACAAAGTGTCATTTAGTACCAGAATCGACCAATGTAATAGATGGCACTTTGTGCTGTCTCATTTCAATAGACAATGCAGATGAGTTGTCAAGTAGCACGAAACAGCTGTGCATGGTTAGCTGTCTGGGGTTGAACAAACGAAGGCTATATTACCAGCCATTTCATCTTGAAGTGCTCAGTTCTTCTTCAGAATACATATTGAATATAGATGGTTATAAAAATGTAAATAGGACGCATAATTCACGGGCCAAATACTGCTTAACATTCTCAAGTTTTATTTCGGAATGAACTGAGTTCACTTGAAGATGATTGAAGATACCACGTCAATCGAAAAGTCGTGATCTCAAAAACTGTATAAACAATGGATGTCCAAAATAAAACTATTGAAACGTTCACATTGTCTACAAATTTCAAACACATATTTTTGGACTTAAATATTTCACAGGCACTGTGACAGATTTTCTGTAGCGCTATAGCCCAATCAGTATGGGCTTGGACGAGTCGCTGTTTCCTGTCGCTATTAAGGCGCATATCGACACCCTAACGTTCAAAATACCTCGGTAGGCAGTTTAAAAAGGAATTGAATTGATTGACTTGGAATTAGTATAAGTTTGTTCATCATTCTAGCAACACGGACGTTCTTAGCGCAAGTGTAAATGCCTGTTTTCAGAAATGACGGTGACCAGTTCCTCGACATAATAGTATCAGGTAACCAAATAAGTTCGTGCGGTTGTTGTATATCGGACATTGCCATGGATGTTGTATGTAGATCGATAGCGATTGTTTGTTCCCTGTTGTCACTTTAGTATGAATCCTTCCCTTCTCACACACATAAAAAGTTGCTGAAAATTGTTACATACCTAGTTTTAATAATTGAAAATGGCGACGAATAAAACAGTAATTCGAATTTGTTTACTGTATGAGTACAAACTTGGTACAGAAGCTGCAGCGGCGGCGTGAAAAATATGTACCGCATTCGGAGATGAGCCGTTAGTGATCGAACAGCACAGAAGTGGTTGTAAAAATTTTCTTTGGGAGATCTCAGTTTGAGCGATGAACCGCGCTCAGGGAGACCAAAAATCATGAACAACGAAGATCTTCGACATGTTGTGGACGCAAATTACAGGACAACGTGACAAGAACTTGCAAAAATGTTCAGAGTGAGTCCTAAAACTATTCGTTTGCATCTTCATCAGCTAGGAAAGACGTGGACGTTAACAATCGGCTACCACATGTGTTTGTTGAACAACAACTGGAGTTGTCCATTACGAGTTTTTGGAAAGGGGTGAAACCATCACTGCTAAGTTGTGAGCAGCTTCAACAAGCAGCACTCATCCAGAAACAGCCTTCTCTGATCAATCGAAAGAAAGTGATATTCTTGCAGGATAACGCCAAACCTCATACCGCAAAAGTGACCCGAGAAAAAATTTCTGAACTCGGCTGGAAAACGTTAGAATATCCGCCATATTCTCCCGACATTTCGCCCAGTGATTATCACCTTTTTTTGCCTCTTGACAACTGTATGAGGCGCCAACAGTTCATAACAAGAGATGGTGTAATAAATGCAGTCCGCCAATTTTTTTACTCCAAATGCAGGGAGTTCTACAATACCGGCATACAAAAATTGGTTCCACCTTGGCAAAAGGTCATTGAATGTTATAGTAATTACTTCGATTAATAAATAGTGTCTTATTGTTTCTCAATAAAAAATTATATTTTTCTACTAACAACTGCACGAACTTATTTGGTTACCTGATAAATAATCTTTTGTCAAAAGTCTATCGAAATCCGCAATAACAATACTTCCTTGTCAGCTAGCCTGGTAACTAAGAATTCAGAATCAAATTTAAAATTTGAACGTATAATCTAGTTTTAGTATACACCCCTTGTATGTAATTACGTTTTTGTGTTTGTAAGGTGCACCTAATAAAAGACATTTGTATATTAACTACCCTTCCATTCCTGTAATGTAGACTACAGAACTGAAAATCCAAATATACTTTTTTGTATATGATTCTGTGATTGTAAGGTGTATTCTTAACAATAAATACATTTGCTTATTAACTAAATTTCCCGCTCCTACTGTCGAGGAATTATTGTGATTTTGTTTTTTGGGTATGTCCGTCGGTGTGTCTGTCCGCCAATCCTTGGCTCCTCGATAACTTGAAAAGTACAGCTCGGATTTGAATGACATTTTTACACAAGGTTATAAGTATGTCACGGACAAAAAAACTTTATAGTTTTTGACAATCGGTCTAGTGGCAGTGGAGAAAAATACCAAGAACTGGAAAAATGAAAAACAATTAAACTTCGTTTCTTGACGTTTCAGAAAATCCTGATCATTTAAAAAAAAATTAGGGGTTAAAATTTGGGGGATGGTTCCAAAGTTCATTTGTCCTGAATTGTGTTACATAAGTATATTGCAATTTGTACACGCTCCAATCCTGAAATCTTCTAATGTTAGTCAACTTTACAAAATATTCAAATAGTCGGAAATCGTCTGCAATGCATTGCTTGTCTGGCTTATACACGGGAAGTCAGCTTCATTATTGTAAAAGCTTCCTTAAAAGATTGTACCTCATTATTGTGACGACGCGTGCATATTCTACGAAAAGTAAGAATTGTCTTGTAATGCTCCTTTAATAAAAGAACTCGTGGAAAAGCTAACAAATTCCGTTGCAAGTTCTATTGTTATTCCATATTCTCCGCGTCTCATCAATCTAAATTATCCCTTTGCTTGCCACATTCTAGAATACAATTTGTTTCTTAGCTTCAAAGGAGGCTGATATTCGTAACACTCTTTTAGGAAGCTTTGTATGCGAGTTTCCAATAAATAACATTATTGTCTCCATCCGTACAGATTTCCAGAGCTGACTTACACATTTTCAAGTGAATCGAAGTTGGATACTTACCAACTATTAGGATACGAGTCGTCATTATAATGATGATAAGTTTAAATGAAGGCTATAGGCAAAGAATAGGAAATGTCACAATTTTAATTTTTTTTTAGTTTCCTATTGGAAACAAATCCTTGTCCATGATATTTTAATTCCCAATCGCTAGCTTTCAAAATGAACATATGGCGCAAAAAAGACATTTTTGTTTATAGCCGCAACGAAAAGAACTGGGAATGTTCATGTCATACCAGCAAAGAAAAAGGATTGCCCAAAATAAGGACGTTCATTGCAAAAGTAACAATATACCAAGTGACTGTTGTTTTTGCACGCACTACTCGCCGGCGCGGCGGGCACTTGAATGCCTCAATTCAAAAACTATACTAGGATCCATGATTTCTTTTCTTTTTTATTTATGTGCTATATACAAAATATGTATGTTCAATATACTAATTAAAGAAAGTTACGGGCGAATACAGTATCTACTATGCCTTATCCACTTTGCTCCAAATCACTTATTTAAAGACTATACACAATTTCTTGTACAAGATTTGGTTCAATTTCTTGTTCGAGATATATTGTGTAGCAAATATAATACAGCAAATTGGTTGAAAAGCTTAAATTGAATAAGAAATTGTTTATAATATGGAACATGTTCTATTTTTCATTGAATTTATAGGGCCGGCACATGCGCAGTTATCATAGCCTCTCCAACCTCACTTGTTTGTTTTTGTTTTGGTTGTGCGCGTCGTCGTTGGGTAGTGAATTTTTGATTTTTTTTAATATCAGCTTTCTTTTTGAACAGGTAAGAAAATATTATCTGAGACTCGATTTTATCATTGTAACAACTGATGCTAGCCTTGGCAGCCTTTCTGCAGCTCTGCAGGAATGCGAAACTGCCGCCACGGCCACAGCAGATGATCTAATGGGTCATTTTGTGGCAGCACAATTAAAAAAAATCACGAATTATAATATTAAGCAAGATGTTTATTTAGTGATACAAAAATTATTAAGAGATGCAATAGAAAAAGACAAAATGTATGTACATTTTTATTATATATATATATATATATATATGTATATTTATATAACTGAATTTCAAAAAAATACTTGTCCAGTAGTACTGAAATACCTGCATAATAGGTTTCTGTCAACAGCTTCAGAAGCATATCTTGTTCCTCCTTGTTGAGAAAGACAATCTAAGTTACATCTCTCATTATCCATTTCTATATAATGCTTACTATGTGTTGAGAGAAAATTTTGTAGAACACAACATGCTAGTGTTATTGTCACAACTTTTTATCAATCTAAATTTATTGTTCCTCTGAGAATTCTAAATCTGTACTAACATTCCAAAAGCATTCTCAATAGTTCTTCTTGCTCTTGATAGACGATAGATAAAAATTTATTTTTTATTGAATAATCCACATTGAGCATAAGGCTTTATAGTTAGTTCTATTAGTCAGTGGGGAGGCATCAAGCACAAAGGGAAATGCCACATGATGTAGAACTCATGCTACTTTTTTCCATTCTTCAGTACTACTTGGGAACTAAAAAACGTAATAGTTATGTAAAGATACATGATGCTCCCATGTATGTTACCTTTATGTATGCAGATCTCAAAATGAATTACCACTAGCTATATATCACAGTGTCACAGCCAACCTAGAAGCAAAGCCATCATACATTTTTTTCACAAGACACGATGCTGATAATATCGCCTATTTTCTGCAGTTATACTTGTGTATCTTGCCTTGCAATATCAGGTAGAATCATAGGCAGCAATTTAATAAAACATTAATTGTCCATTCATAGAAAGTTTTTAAGTTTTGGTGCTCAAGAAATAGATCTTTTCTCAACATATTCAACTTTCCGTGGCCTTCGTCTCTTCTCAGCCACTTCTCTTGCCAATTTTTTCGTTTATTTGCGAGTCTCTTAATTCGCCCGTGCACCACTTCGCAAAATAGACACCCAAAGATGTACCTGCTAAAGCAATGTTTATTTCCAGCTTCATAGTAAAGACCAGCGGATAATGTAAAAAGCATAGGGTCAACGAAATCAGAATAATTTTTTTCAACTCAAAATCACTTCTTGTTTTTAATTTTTGACAATTCGGTGACACTTTGTGAGTTACACTGACAACTTTGACATTTACAGATCGATTCTTGACAGGCAGAATCTTAATGCGCAGAAGCCCAAACTGTTTCTTGAGCAATAAGTTGTTGGAATATAAAACAGGAAACAATTTTTCATTCAAGATCTTAAGAAATTGAACCAAATCTTGTACAAGAAATTGTGTAGCCTAAAACAGTCTTAAGAGTTTTCCTGTATCCTTCCAAAACGATTGACTCAATCTACATCATTTGTATGATTGAGAAAATCGTTTAAATATACGATGAATATTTTAGAAATCTGTTCGTACAGGGATAGTATGAAAATGGAATTTCACGCCTAATATTATACCTATCTTACAAAACCAATTTTTCTATTGAAAAATACATACATTTTGCTGTCTGCTGGTCAAATAAGCACCTGGATTACCGATTATTGAAGAAACTTAAAACAAATAAGTCTATGTGCTTTTCCACAATGGCTTGCACGTGAAACGGAAAATTCGGTATTACCGGATGTTCGCTTTGCGCAGGTTTCTTGTATTCCCTCAAAGGTAATAAAACATGCAAACTTAAAACATGTGACCCGTTAATAAGTCGATATTTAAGTGTAGTTTTTAATAAAAGCCAATAAAAGACTGGACTAATATCATTCTTTTGATTAAATAATATATCATTATCCCTATTTCTTGCCAAAAGGAAATGGCGTCAAGTAAGTTGACTCTGTACTTGCCAGGCATCGCTGTCATTAATTCGTAAAGGATAATGTTTGGCATGAGTGAGCCCATCAGACAAAAAAGTTAGCTATGATCATGTATAACAAAAAATTATTGTCTCCTGTGACTTAATAGGTTTTTGAAATAACTGATTCAATTACGAGCGAGGCTATGGAGTGATTTTTAATAATAAACAATTATCTTTAAAAGGGAAACGGAACATACGTTAATCGATGGTCGGACGCAGAAATTAACTGATTTAACTGTAAAGTGGCCCTAGTATTCGTAATCTTTATACTTTGGTTCGAGTCGAGCCGTGTTGGAAGGAAATGCGGCCTCCTGGGCGGCAAATTGACTACTCTGGCGTTGTCAGCCCATCTCGTCATGTTATACAAAATTTAATCTACTACGCGTTACACTTAGTTGACAAATGGGCCCCTGTTGAAAAATTGGAGGGCTATTTACATCAAAAAGAGGGTGGCGAGAGTGCTTCGTATTCCCTTTATCCGTTGGTAGTCTCAAGCAGGATTAAGCAGTGGTTGGGTATTGAAGTAGAATTGTGTCGTTCCGTTCTGATTGAACGAGTCCTGTGGTGGATCCTGACAAACGGAATCCGACCTGTCAGACCAATTGGGTCCGATCAAAGAATCCAGATTAGGCAGAACGAACAAGTCAACGATTCGTTTGTCTCCAAAATCTCAATCTATAGCTAGGATGAAATACCTACAATAATAATGAAAATATTGAAGAATCTGAAGCACTACTTTACCAAACAAACGAAAACTAAACTTTTGCGAATGGCATATTTTTCATCCACCGTGATAAGTGATATACTTATACAGGGTGACTTCGAAGTTGAGTCATTTATTTTAACAGTGAGTAGATCTGATCAAAAGAAACGTTTTTTTCCTTTAACATTTTTCTGGTAAAATTAAAGTAACAAAGTTATAGCCCTTTAGAAGTTTGAGTACCGCCCTGTCTCAATAATAATATTATGTGCTCGTGTTTGGCAACAACGGATATATCGGTTCATCGCATAGGAAACAAAAAAGCGAAAGAATTTGAAACGTTTATCACGATGTTTTTCGTCATTCGGTAACGCGTGAGTGAATAGTGGTGTTTGTTACGTGGCTCAAACGAAATAAAAAATGGCACATGTTTACGAAAATGCTAACTTGTGGACATGATTCTTATTTACGGGGGGGAGTCTTTACAAAATGCTGCCGCGGCATCACGCATTTGTGCGAATCGGTTTCTCAATCGAGTGCAACCAACCCCTCGTGCCTTTGTTAATGTAGTACAAAGGGCTCGTGAATCAGGTGACTTAAGACCTCACAGGGGAGGGCATGCCGGTGCTCCAAGACCGCACGATCAAATGCAGGTCCGCACTGAAATACTTGTCGGGAGGATACTTTATAAAACAAGGTAACATTTTATTTTTATTTTTTTTATTTTTACACACATATTTTGGTTTATCCTCCTTCTACAATCATTATCTGAAAATTAATGACTCAACTTCAAAGTCACGTGGCACACATCTCAGTGCTTTCATAGTTCAGTTCATATCAAAAGATCGATAACGATACAACACGCCTCGTATGCGTCGTAGCAGTATCTTAGATCCTATAGATCAAAGAAGGCAAACAGAGACTCATAAAAAAAGCAATTAGACAAGTTTAATATACAATGGCATCCTCAACAATTATGGTACAACCTATTTTTGTGGTTACTTGTACCATTCCAGAGAAATATAAAAAATGGTAATTTTCACCTGTAACGACCAATAAAAGATTTTGCGCTGGAAGAATCGATACGGACTTTTGATATATTAATTGCAATAACATATTGAATGCCTGAACCAACTTTTCAAGTGGGTACGAATTTTTCCGAAAATACGACTTCCCTTTCATTTATTTTGAGCGCACCTTAATCAGACCATGATATGTTTGAATTTTACGGATCTACATATACTATTACCTTTTTTTGAGTTTTCAAGTCTTTTGCGTTCAACTGTTCTGTATACAAAACTTTGGTTGATCATGGAACGCATTTTTAGAAGAATCAATGACAGTTTTCTTGATACAACCTGTATACAGCTTAAGTCACATACATCAATGTTTCCACAAATATGATCATATTGAATAATCAATGCGTAATAATCGTATATCGCAGGAAGCATAGGAGCAGAAGAGTATCTGAGATTCCGCAGATCATTAAATCTCAAAAACGGTAACTCAGGAAATAAAAGTATTCAATCAACTTTTGTAGACAATTTTTGTAAAAGATAGTTTTGTAGTATCGCTTTCCCTTTTACATAAATATAAAACGTGATATTTTAAAAATAATATATAAATCAAGGTTCCGCTTCAAATATATATGAGTTTTGATATATTATTCAAAATGGCGCATTTAAGTTTTGTACCAATTTTAACTTTGTGAGAAAATTTGCAAACCTAATTTATATTTTGGTTAGAATGCATGAATTCAAAAACCCCATAGATCTTGAATATTGTTTTTTTTTTCGTAGATGTGGGATTGATGGGGACTTATTACATTTCATTTATAATATTAATCAGCAGTGTTCGAATCATTGTAAGTCTATACTTATTTTTTGGGTTATCTTAACCTCATTATTATATATTATATAGAGGACAGACACGGCCGTTGATTCATGATCCTACCAACATTTGTATATTTTGCAAGATTACTTCGTGACATAATGACTGGCTGGTAAAGCAAAATGACTGCCGTTGTGCAAAGAATGGCATTTCAACCAGTGGAGTATCATAATGAAAATACTACCGCACCAGCAACGGATGTGCCTTAAGTGTGAAGTTAACCTTAAAACACCCATCTGGAGTAACATCATAAAGCCATTCGGACGGCATCCTCACGGCATTGGAGTTCCTAACCAACTTTCAAATTTACCTACGTATAAAAAGATAATTCTTCTGCTACACGCTGCTGCCTGCTACCTTGCAAACACAGCATGGACGCGCCATAATCGACAAAAAATAAATTCAAAAGCACAAAAACACAATTTGCACGACGCACACTCACAATGAAGGCAAATTATGAATGAAACCCATGTTGCCAAACTTTACGCAAAACTTTGGACGTAGTTACACTGCTCCTGCAACTGCTTACGATATTCGCTCGAACACTGTTTCAAATTCGTGGTCGCTACTAAGGCATGTACAGGTATAATATATTCTGACTGAGGCGGTATTCATGTTCAAAGTATCAATACTCTTCTACGATCCACAACAACAAATGTTTCAAATGCAAATTTTGTTAAGAGATGTGTCTATCCCTATTTATTAGGTCTGCTTTCTGTTATAAGTAAGGTGATGGAGAGGTGCAGAAATCGCAAGTTTCTGGACTACCTCGAACGTCACGGCTGGATTAGCGACAAGCAGTATGATTTCGGGCACCAGCGGTCCACAGAGGATCTTCTTTCTAGCTTACGTCACGCAGTTGTGGAGTAAACTCGTCGAGTACTATGGTGAGGCTCATGTCGTTGCTCTTGATATCACGAAAGCGTTCGATTAGCTGTGGCACGCTGCCCCCCTATGTAAACTTCCATCCTATGGTCTACCAGAAAAGCTTTGCAAATGGGTGGTGGAGTTTCTCTCTGGACGCAAGATATCCATCGTAACTGATGGATTCTCCCCTTCATCCCACAACATCAACGCGGGTGTTCCCCAGTGATCGGTCTTGGCTCCGACACTGTTCCTATTACATTTTAACGACCTCCTTCCATGTACGATCAATTCAGTTCACAACTTTGCTGATGACAGCACGCTACATGCAGGAATTCAGCCGATCTCTAGAAAGTTGGAAAAAAGAAAACTACCAGCGACTTCCTCTCTGACGAGAGACCTGGAGGTTACCGCTGCTTGCGGACGCAACAATCTTACAGTACAGTTTACTGCTTCCAAATCACAGTACAGTCCTTGACAAACAACAAGCGTTCTAGCGCTCATCCGGTTTGGATAGATCACCGAGGACTTGATTTGGCACGAACACATCTCGTCAATAGCGGCAGCTGCTAGGCTATTTGTTTAGGGCCAGCATGGCCTCCTCATTAAAGGAACAGATAAGACCTAGCCTCGAGAATTGGTCGTTTGGGGTGCTGCCAACCCGACTTCATTAATCATACTCGATGCTGTCCAGAGGAGGGCTGTCCAACTGATGGATAACTTTCCTCGGTCAGTCTCGGAACCTTTTCGTACTAGCGCGCCGTCGGTGATCTAGCTCTTTTCTACAGCAACACCAACGGGCTTTGCTCCTCAAAGCTCTTCTCCATCCTAACCGTGTCGAACTTCGTACATCCTGAACTGGACGATACGACAGCTCGCTTGTCCCGAGGGTGTCGAAAGAGTGCAACAATCTACAATAGGAGGCCTTTTCCAGTTGTACTAACCTTAGGCAATTCAAAAATCGGCTTAATAAAATTTCTTTGGGATCCTAATAGCAATCGCGGTGTCCTAGCAGTTAGGAGTCTGCCTACGTGGCTGCTTCGGTGTAAAAAAATCATCGGTGATTTGAACGATGAGTTTGTAGTTTGCATAGTATAGCAAGATACTATAGATGGTCGCAAGCCTTTGTCATAATATAATAGTGAATGTAATAGTATCGACTTGGCCTCGACAAATGGCTGGATAAGCTTACTTCACAAATATGAGACAAACTAAATGTTACATTTGTATTCGCTAATAAAGCGGTTATGATCGAGATTTTGAATGGCTTACTCGGAATATATCGCATAAGTTCTATGCTCAACAATAGTGGCTTGCTCAAGAGCAGTCTCCAAACTCTGCACAAGTATCCTTGCAACGCTGTTAAATTCAGTCTTAATAAATAGGATTCATCTCAATATATTGCTCCTGTTAATCGACAGGTGTACGGTCTACTAACTTTGTCGATAACTCATGTAGCGTTCGGCACTCTCCCAAGTTTCAGGAAGTGTAAGCAGATGTTCACTCTCTTGTACACACAGATACATCGCCTACTCTAAAATGCAACGTTTAACTACATAATCGAAATGTTTTGCTGATATGAGCATGTTGATGGTTATCTGCGAGATGTGTGAAAATATGTAGCTGAAATTGTACAACCAGCTAGAATGTGAATTTTTAAGGTGCTTGCCCGTTAATGGAGGAGAAGCGAAGCGATCGAAATCCTTCCGCTGAGTTCCTTTACGCATAATCAAGTGAGGGACAGCGCTTTGAATCGATGCGAAGTGAAGCGATGCGCCGTCGTGGTTCTTTTCGCGTCGCTTCGCCTCAGTGGGCATGCAGCTTAAAGACGTTTATACAGACCGCGCCTTCAGAAAATTTCCAGGGAGATTATGGGGTACCGCTAGAATTTTGTATTGAATAAC